CTAGTGGACTCTTTTCTGGTTCAATTAAGAATAGACTGGATGTTTTCCAAACATGAACGTTCTAGGTCTGATACCCAGGCCGTAAGGTGGAAGGGGTCTGGGTTGCGGGGCGTCTGGCTGTGCGGTTCCCCATGGTCAACAGGTTGGGGAAGGGTTGGATGCTGATGGGATGATGTGCCACCATTTGCAGAAGGAAGCTGTCTGGGGTCCATGGTATGCAATGAGAATGACTCGAGTTTTGTCGTGACGAATCTCAGTGCCTGTGGTAGTAGCGGGAGGGGAGGAAAGGCGTATCTCAGGTGGGAGAAGGGTGTTGTTCTTGCAGCCCTTGCCCATAGCAGCCCTGGAGCGATATAGGGCAAATTCCTTGTTTGTCTGGGATGCCCACAGGTCCCAGGATGGCATTTTCCACTAGGTGAATCTCTCGTTCAGGCCGGAATTGTGTAAGTCCCATTCATGGTCTGTGGAGACGTGTCTGCTGAGATTGTCCTCCAAAGAATTCTGTGCCCCTGGTAGGTATGTCACCAAGATCATTGTGCAGCTCCTGACGTACCAGTTCCATTAGTTGATGGCCTCTACACACAGAAGAAGGGATCTTGCTCCACCTTATTTGTTTACATAGGAGACAGTCGTCATGTTGTCTGACGTTATTTGGACATGGCTGGATAGAATCAGTGGGAGGAATGGATGGCAGGCAGGCTAGACAGACTGCTCTCAGCTATAGCCGACTGATATGCACTCTGGACAAGGGGTCCATGTGCCCTGTGCAGGGTGATTGCCCATGTGCGCTCCCCATCGGGTGTGAATGCAACAAAAGGGACTCCCTCGCGCACTGGCTCTGGGTTTGTCCACCAGGCCAAAGAAGCCTTGAGCTTGGCTGGAATTTAGGCCAATAAGTTTAGGCTTGAAATTAAAGGCAGGCGTCTAGGCATCAGAGCAGTGAAGTTCTGGAACAGACTCCAAAAGGGCAAAAACCCTAACTTGTTACGAGACTGAGCTTGATAAGGTCACGGAGGGGGTGGTATGAAGAGATTGCCTGCAAGGGCATGTAGCCGATCTGCAACTGCTAGCAGCAAATATCTCTGATGGCTGATGATAGGACACTAGATGGGGAGGGCTCTGAGTTACTACAGAGAATTCTTTCCCAGGTGTCTGGCTGGTGGCTCTTGCCCACACGTTCAGGGTCTAACTGATCACCATATCTGGGGTCGGGAAGGAATTTCCCCCCAGGTCAGATTGGCAGAGACCCTGGGGGTTTTTCCACCTTCCTCTGCAGCATGGGGCATGTGTCACTTGCTGGTTTGAACTAGAGTAAGTGGTGGGTTCTCCATAACTTGAAGTCTTTACATCAAGATTTGAGGACTTCAGTAACTCAGCCAGAGGTTATGGGTCTATTACAGGAGTGGGTGGGTGAGGTTCTGTGGCCTGTGAGGTGCACGAGGTCAGCCTAGATGACCATGATGGTTCCTTCTGGCCTTAAAGTCTATGAATCTATGAGAACTGTTACGCTGATGTTCACGTCGTCATATCAGAGAGAGGACTGCAGACAACAAGTGGAGCCTGGCAAACGGCATGACCCAAGTACACGAGGCCATGTGGCCTAATAGGGAAAGACAGCCTTTGACTGCGGTTCATGGTTTGAGCGTAACTTTTCTTATCAAGTTGAGTTTCTCACCATTGGGAGGTAGGCCCTTGGTGAGATCCAAACTAGGGTAGCCCCCATCAAGTCTATCGTCCTTGTGGGAGGTGAAGTGGACTTTTCTTTGTTTACGTAGACTCCCAGGGATGCCAGGAGAGTAAGAATATGATTGGTGACTGACCTCCTGACTGGATTTGCCCGTTAGTAGCCAATCATCCCGGTATCACTGAGAAGACCTTCGTGAAGACACTCGGTGCTCTGGTTAGACCTGAAGGACTCTGAACTGGCAGGGTTCTTGCCCTACCAGAAACCCGAGAAACCTTTGTCCGGCTGATACGTGTCCACATGAAAGTAAGTATCTTTGATGCTGAGAGCCACGTACCACGCACCCTCTTCTAAGGGAGGATTATTGATGCCAGCGTAACCATTGGGAGTCTTGACTTGCTGTCGGAGAATGAGCCTCCAGCCTCCATTTTTCTTGGGAGCAACGAAGAATGGGGAGTAGAACCCCTTTGCCTTGAGGCTCCATGAGCAGCACCTGGTGGAGAGAACCCAGCTGCTGATGGAGAATCTCCTTGGGACAGGGAAGCAGGGCGAGAAACTCAATAACGTAGCACCCACTCATCTTTGTTGTTACTGCCCTCCAGTGGTGTGCAAAGAGGGCCACCAAAGGCTTGGGGGAGGGAAGGGAATCAATAGAGCTACCCAACGATAGAACTATCTCAAGCGTCCCATCAAAAGAAACCCTGGTTGGCGGGTGGGCTTGAGCAGTGGCGGCTGAGGTGGAAGAAGCCAGCGATCTCTGTCTGTGAGCCCTCTGTCGTTTACGCGGCGGTTCGTAAAGGTGCTGGAGGGCGGGGACATGGCTGGGCCTGGAGCTGTGTTTGGGGTGTTCCCTCTTCGGGGCTAAGGCCCAGGGAGCGGAGGGTTGTCCTAGAGTCCTTCAGGGAGTGAAGTGATTCATTCATCTTCTCATTGAAAAAATAAGATTCCTCAAAGGGCGAGTGCTCAGTGGCTTTCTGGACCTCCCTGGGGAACCCTGAAGCATGAAGCCACAACTCACGTCTCATGACAGCGGCTGTGGCAATGGCACGAGCTGCACCCAATGAGGCCAGTAACGACGGCTTAGCCACCTGCCTTCATCGAGGAGGGCTTGGAATTGGCCCTCGGCCTCCTGGGGCGGTTTATCTTTGAGCCCCACCAATGTAGCGGAGTTTGTGAAGTCGCGTTTCGCCAACAGGGGCTGGTAGTTGGCGCTTCAAACTTGGAGGCTGGTAGATGAAAATAGCTTCGGCCCTGAGAGGCCAAGGCGTTTATTACCCTTGTCAGATGGAGTTGGCCTGGGGGACTGTAATCCGGACTGTTCTCTGGCTGCCTGTACCACCAAGGAGTTCGGCGCTGGGTGGGTGAACAGGAACTGGGCCCCTTTCAGTAGAACCAAGTTCTATTTTTCTGTCCTTTTCAGGGGATGGGCACAGGAGGGCCTAGCGGGCTCCAAAATGGCTTCCTTCCAGGAGCCTACACTGTCTGTCGTGGACCTCCTCAAGAGGGATCTGGAGCCTCTGTAAAAGCTCCTGGTACTGCCTGTAGTCATCAGGCAGGAGAAGGGATGATGGCATATTTGCCTCATTGGGGGAGGAGGAGGACACACCCGTTAAAACCGTCGCAGCCAGTTTGATTTCCTCCTCCGCACGCCCCGACAGAGCCTGTGGTACCATCTAGGGGAAGGTCCAGAACGATTCTTGCTTGGATCTCAAGAGCCCCAATAAGGTCAATATGATGGGTCAACCGGCTGGGGGAAAGGGAGTCCCCCAAGGCATTGGACATCATCGGTCCCTTTGGTAGTGGATGGCTCCAAGACATCCTAGAGGTTCTGTCCGGACTGATCTCTCTCTCTGAGGGGTTGAAGTCTTGTGCAGGTGGTCAGATTCCTCTGGTGAAAAAGTCATCTCATGTTTTACCAGCGGTACCGGAGGAGGAATGCTCCGACCTGCAGATGTAGTAGGGTTTTCAAAGTGATTTCTTCTGGTGTAGAGATGTCTCTGAGGAGAACTGGACTGATAACAGAGGAGACAGCAGGTATATAAAAGCTAAAAATATTCTCCGGAGTAGTAAAGGTCTCAGTTTAAGCTGGAGTACGGGGGGTACTGGAGGTTGGTGCCGACAGAGCTGGTGTGCCCGAGGACGGATCCATCATGGACTGAGGCAGTCCTGTGGAAGGGAAGTCCAGGGTGGAACTCCCAGACGGAGCCGTGGGATGCCGATCCTTCAGTCTAGGAGCTGGAGGTGGAGTCGGTACCGACGGATCCTTCCCCTTTCACACCGTCCCTTCTTGCATGGAAGATTTAGGCAGCTCTAAGCACTTAGGAACCGTGCGCAAGGACTCTCCTGACGTGGACTGAGTACGGGGGGGCGGGAATCTTTTCTTTTAGAGGCCGTTCTGGAAGGGAATCCATCCTTGTATCTACTGCAGCCCTGAGTTTCTGAAGTACTGGTACCCTGCCCTGCCAGCGTGACCTCTCAGCGAGGTCGCACTGTGCGGAGGACACCCAGTGTACTTTACAAAATGGCTTCCGCCATGTGACCACATGGAGGAAACCATTTTGTTTTGGTACAAGTGGCCTTGCGGGTGGCTCCACTACATCACTGATGGCCACGCCCCTTACTCTCATGAGAGGGTTTCCTGGGTTTAACAGACCCTGTCTCAATCCCGGAGCTCAGGTGGCCGCTCACACATTCCCGGAATACCAGGCATGCCGGTACTTCTGGGAATGACGTGGGCCCGCCCCCACCTGGGTGACCTCGCACGCAGTCGTTCCACACCGCGGGGGGGAGGTGGTGCCATTTTGAGGCATGCGCAACCCCGCCGGCGTGACCTCACACGCACAGTGTGTGTACAAGATCGGGCCACGTGAGGGGTGCCATTTGGAGGAGCGCGTTGCCCCGCCCCCGCAGGCGCGAGCTCCCATGCTCCTTAAAATGGCGTCCGCCATCCAATACTGGCTTTGTCTCAGTGTCGGATGGGGGGCAAACCCCCAAAAGAGGACTGCCCAGTTCAAAACCAGATAGGCAGCCTCCTTACTAGGTGCTTGTGCTCAGAGGGGCGCTTCCCACAGTCTGAGGCGGCTGCCTGTGGGGCCTGGATCCGATTGCGGTCTCCAGGCCTTCAGACATTGCCGCTTCTTCCCTCCCTGAAGAAGGGAGCTAACGCTGCACTGGCTGAGCGTCTCCGAGACCACCCTGGTGTTTGTCGCTGCTGGAGAAGGAACGGGGGCAGGCAGCCCGCTTCTTAAATCCCGAGACTCTGCGGGGAGAACTCGCCTACGAACCAGTCAACGAGTACGGCGACGGAACGACGTACGCGATCGAAACCTGCAGGTTCCGAAAGAACAAGGATCGCTATGGACACCGAGACCGCCGCATGGCCTGAGTCGGAGTCAAGGAGAAACTGGAGGGGCGCCGGTCCACCCTGGGGTCCGAGCACGAGGAGGACAACGGCGCGGGCGTCGACCAATGGACACCGCTGGCCGTCAGCCACGTGCGGAATACCCATCGGGGACGTCGACACAGCGGCCGTGGCTGGGTTCGGGCTGCGGGGCTATAAAACCCCACCACGCCGTGTCTACACAGCAACGTTCAGCCCGAGCCCCCCAAGTCTGAGTCAGCTGACCGGGCTCTGAGACTCAGTGTTAGGGGTTTGTTATTGCAGCGTAGCCGTATCCAGAGGGACCAACCTGGCCTCGCCAGTCCTGTTCCGTGCACCTCTTCTAGATCTTTATCGTAAGCGGCGTTCCACAAGCTTATATGCGGTTTTACGCTGGACACAGCCAGGCGCTTTGCACTCAGGACATAAGAGCGGCCAGATTGGGTCAGACCAAAGGTCCATCTAGCCCAGTATCCTGTCTTCCGACAGTGGCCAACGCTAGGTGCCCCAGAGGGAGTGAACCTAACAGGTCATGATCAACTGATCTCTCTCCTGCCATCCATCAGGACAGTGTTGAACTGAGGGGAAGCCGGCGCCCTGGGGCGCCCTCTCTTCCCACACAGGCAGCGGGTTGATGCACTCGGCTGAAACAAGGGGGTGGGGGGGGGTGCGAATTGCTAGCCTGCATTGTGGGAGAGCGGGCAGTAGAGCTGGCAGGGTTCGCCCTGGTGGGCACGGACTAGGCAGGTGGTAGAGAATCACCTGGGTAGCTCGGGTGGCCCTGAAAAGTGTCCCAGTGTGATGGGGGAGGCAGGGGGAGCGAGGTACATTTTTTGGAGGGGGAAGGGCATGGGTGGATTGAGGTGTGTTGGGGGAGCGAGGTGTGTTTTGGGGGACAGGGAGAGCGAGGTGGCTTTGGGGGAAAGAGGTGTCTTTGGGGAAGGTTTGGAGGCATGGGGGGGAGAAGTGTATTTGGGGAGGGTGGGGGGAGAGATGTGTTGGGGGGTCAAGGTATATTGCGGGGAGCAAGGTGTATTCAGTGGGAGCGAGGTTTATTCAGGGGCTCCACGGGGAAGAGTGAGGTGTATTTGGGGAGACCTGGGGCAGCATGTATTCTGGGGGGGG